GGGGGAGGGAAGGAGAGAAGGGGCAAGAGGAGGAGGGAGGGAGGAGGAGGGAGGGAGGAGGAGGGAGGGGAACGGAGGGAAAGAAAAGAAAAAAGAGAAATGCTGTAATCTCTAGGGTGCTCACTAAAAATAATAATACATAAATAACCAGCTTATAGGAAGAAATAGAAAGATATACTGCTAGAGTATATATAAATGATACTTTTAGAAAAAGGTTTATCAACCAGGAAAGCATAACTATGTCAAATGTGCACATATCTAATAATGCACAAGCAAAATTGAAATAGAGAAAGCACAATTATTTTGGAAGATTTTAACACTCTTTTAGAAGCTGGAGGAACAAGCAGACAAAAAAGCTAAGTAACCATATAGAAGACTTGAACAACATAATTAACAAGGTTGATCAATCTGACATATCCAGAAACCAGCACTCAACAATGGCAAAAATATATTTTTCCAGGTGTATGTTTTCCAAACTGTCAATATCCTTACTCATAACTCAGGTCTCACTAAATTTCAAAGTACAGAAAGTACAAAGAGATATAACCTGAATAGTCCCCATGTGTTTGAAAGTTAAACAATACATTTCTTTTATTTATTTATTTATTTTGAGATGGAGTCTCATTCTGTTGCCGAGGCTGGAGTACAGTAGTGCCATCTTGATTCACTGCAGTCTCTGCTTTTTGGGTTCCAGCGATTCTTTTGCTTCAGCTTCCTGAGTAACTGGGATTACAGGCGCCTGCCACCATGCCTGGCTAATTTATTGTATTTTTAGTAGGGACAGGTTTCACCATGTTGGCCAGGCTGGTCTTGAACTCCTAGCCTCAAGTGATCCACCCACCTCAGCCTCCCAAAGTGCTGGGATTACAGGTGTGAACTACAGCACCACACCAAGCAATACATTTCTGAATAACTCGAGGATCAAGGAAAAAATCACAATGGAAATTGTATTTTTAGTTGAATGATAATAAAATGATGGCAGGTTAATACAAGATGCAGCTTAAAGGAAACTTTATAGCTTTAAAGGGCATGTAAAAAAGAAAAAAGACTAAAAATAAATTATCTAAGTCTCTATTTCAAGAAGTTAGTAAAAGAGCAGCATGTTAAGTCCCAAGAAAGAAAGGAAATAATAAATAGCAAAAAATCAATATAATACAAGACTAACATGAGATACAGAAAAATCAACAAAACAAAAAGTGAATTATTTTAAAACACAAATGAAATGTACACTCCTTGTCAAGAGGAATCAAGTAAAAAGAAGACGAGGCAAAACTAGTATCCGGAATTGAATAGGAATATCACTACAGAACCTAGAAACCTCCAAACACCAAAAAGGTAACAAAAGAATATTATAAATAAAATTGTATCTGGTCAATCACCGAGGCTCATGCCTGTAATCCCAGTACTTTGGGAGGCCAAGGCAGGAGGACTGCTGCTTGAGGCCAAGAGTTCAAGACCAGGCTGGACAACATAGCAAGACCTCTCTCTACAAAAAAAATCAAAATTTTAAAAAAATTAGCCAGGCATGGTGGCACCACCTGTAGTCCCAGCTACTCAGGAGGTTAAGGCAGGAGGATCCCTGGAGGCCGGGAGCTCAAGGTCTCGGTGAGCTATGATCATGCCACTACACTCCAGTCTGGGTGTGACAGGGTGAGACTCTGCCTCTCAAAATAATAATAATAATAATAATAATCATTATTATTATTATTAAATAACATTGTAGCAATGAATTTGTAAATCTCCACGAAACAGACAAATCCCTTGAAAAACATAACTTACCAAACCTTGGCATAAAAGAAAATAAAAAATCTGAATAGTTACTGAAGAAACTGAATTCCACAAAGGAAAATCCATGATCAGATAGGTTCCACTGGTAAATTCTCCTAATCATTTAAGCAACAAATTACATTAAAATTTCTAGACAATAAAGAAACTCATCTGATGAGGCCCACGAAACTCTGATATCAGAACCTAATAGGTCCATGCAAGAAAGGTAAATTACAATTCAGTGTCTTTTAAGAGAAAAGATGTGAAAATCATATATATGTATGTGTACAGGCACACACATGTAGGCCAGGCACGGTAGCTCATGTCTGTAATCCCAGCAAAACTTTGGTAGGCCAAAGTGAGCAGATCACTTGAGGTCAGGAGTTCAAGACCACCCTGGCCAATATGGCAAAACCCATCTCTGCTAAAAACACAAAAATTAGTGGGTGTGGTGGTGCGTGCCCGTAATTCCAGCTACTCAGGAGGCTGAGGTGCGAGAATCGCTTGAACCCAGGAGGTGAAGTTTGCAGTGAGCTGAGATCATGCCACTGCACTCCAGCCTGGGTGACAGAGTGAGCCTCTGTCTCAAACAAAAGCAAAAAATAATAATACACACACGTATGTATACACACACACATTAATACATGTACGTATACACACACATAAACATACTTGCAAATTGAATTCAAATAAGAGAACACAAGCAAGTTGGATTTATTTCAGGAATACTAGGCTGATTTAACATTTTCCAATCAATGAAATGTAATTCACAGAATTTATTAATCTGTTAATAAATGTATTCACAGAATTATATAATATTAACAGAATAAAGGAGAAAGCCTTATATTCGTATCAACAGATGGAAAGAAAAGCATGTGATAAAATTTAATATTTGTTTATAACTTTTCAATTCTTAGCAAACTATAGCAAACATCATATTTAACGGTATAAAATTGAAAGAGACAAGGATGTCAACTACTATCACCACTTCCATTCAACATTATACTGGAAGTTCTAGCCTGTGTAATAAGATGAGAAGAAGAATAAAACAGGGGAATTACAAGCTGAACCCAGGGCAGCTTGTTACACTAGGAAGTATAGAAATGCTCAAAGAATAATATGGATGTACCAAATAGACTTGGCTAGGTACAGCGGCTCACACCTGTAATCCCACCACTTCAGGAAGCCGAGGCAGGATAACTACATGAGTCCAGGAGTTCAAGACCAGCCTGGGAAACATAGGGAGACCCCCCCATCTCTACAAAAAAAATTTTTTTAATTGGCCCAGGTTCCCAGGTACTCAGGAGACTGAGCAGGAGGCTTGCTAGAGCCCAGGAAGTCAAGATGACAGTAAGCTGTAATTGCGCCACTGCACTCTTGCCTGGGTAACAGAGACCCTGTCTCAAAAAAAAAAAAAAAAAAAAAAATCCAAGAGCCGGCTTAAAGTCTCCCACTGGCTAATCTGGGACAATCTGAGTATCAAAATAAATAATATTAGATTACATTAAATAAAATTAAAAATCAGAGTCCAGACAGATAACTGAAGAGAATGTAAGCCTCTTCCTCATAAATCTTTAATAAGTTAATCATTAATGGATTCTAAAACTAGTTAGTGACAGTTTGATAAGGTACTGTCTATTTACAAAGCCTCAAAGTGCTTCTCCACAAATTACTTACTAATATAAAAAGAGAAAACAGAAACTTTAAAGTAAAAAGCTTGATACTACACTACACTAACCAAGTGATCAAAGTTAACAAGCAGGACGAATTCACATCATATACCTCCTAATGTGATGTACTGATAAGGACACATCATCAGTCATGTGATATTCTGCCCAAAATGCAAAACCTGAATCTAATCATGATGAAACATCACCTAAGTTGAGGAGACATTCTTCAAAATAACTGTTCTGTAGTCTTCAAAAATGGCAATCAAGCAAGAGAAAGGCTGAAGAACTGTTCTAGATTAAAGGAGACCAAACAGACCCAGCAACTAAATGGATCAAGAAGAAAACAACTATAAAAGACATCATTCAGGTAACAACGAATTTTGAATATCCACTGTGGATTATATAGTAATATTGTACAAATGTTAAATTTCCACATTTTAATCACTGAATTGTGGTCATGTAAAAGAATGCCCTTAATTCTTAGGAAATATACATTAAAGTATTTAAGGATAAAGGAGTATGTTGGAATCAAATACTCTCAAATGGTTCAGGGACAAAGTGATATGTATACATTGACATATGTATGCAGGTAGATATGTGTATATGGATGTATGTATATTTATAGATATTTGTGTGTTTCATACACACAAAGAGAGAAAGAAAAGAATAAAGCTAATGGGGCAAAATTAGCAATTGGTAAATCTGACAAAAGGATATGAGAATTCCTCATAGTCTTCTCACAACTTTTCTTAAATTTGAAATTATAACAAAATTAAAAGTTACCAAAAATGATAAAGGGGAATATTTTCATGTAGAAAGGAATATCTTAAGACACAAAAAACACTAATCATAATGGAAAAATTAACCAAACTTCATTAAAATTAAGAACAGATCCTATTCAAAAGATGGTATTAGAAAATGAAAAAGCAAGCTACAGACTAGAAGAAGACATATTCATAAAAGTGTCAAAGGTGTTATTACAGTCAAGGTAAAAAAAAACTCCTTAAATCAATTGCAAAAAAAGAAAGCCACTGAGTCAAGGCCAGGCATGGTGGTTCATGCCCGTAATCCCTGAACTCTGGAAAGCTGAGACAGGAGGATCATTTGAGCTCAGGAGTTTGAGACCAGCCTGGGCAGTAAAGTGAGACCCTGTCTCTATTAGAAAATACTAAAAAGAAGAGGAAGAAGACAAAGTCAGACACTGACTCAAAAAAGAAGTCTATGGGGTCAACAGCAAAATGAGCAGGAAACTTGAGAAGGCATTTCACAAGTGGTATCTAAATGGCCAATAATAAAATGAAAAAGTACTAAGAATCAGTCATCAAAATTATTTTTAAAAATTTTTTTAATAAATAAATGATTATACCGTGTACTGGTGATCTGGGGCAACTCCTCCCATACACTACTGACAGGAAACGACACTGGTAGCACCACTTTGGAAATCTGGTATTATCTACAAATACATGACCTGGCCTCCAGTCTCATCTTGTACTATTCTTTTCCTCCTTTGCCATGCTCCAATACCACTGACTTTCATTCAGTTCCCCGTAAGCATCAAGCTCCATCCTAACTCAGGAGATTTATACAGAATTCTTTCTTCTATGTGGCATAGTCTGCCCCTCTGTAATGCATTTACTGGCTTCTTCTCTAGCATTCATTCTCTACATCCTCCTTTTCTAACAATTCCACTTTTTGGGGGGTCCCTTGTGGTTCTAGACAAGCACATTTAGTCCCTAACTCCAGGTTGCAGCACATGACCTTGCCTAAGCCAATCTACTCACCTAGTCACAACAAGTGATCCAGAGGTTAGCATGTGACCTAAGGTGATCAAAACTGAGAGGATCTCAGATCTTTTACTGGAATGTTAGAGAAAAGACTCTCCTACTGGCCAAATATTAGGGAATATACACCTTTGGAAACTACCACTAACCATCTAGGGATCATAAAGACAACAAGCCTTAAAATAATGGCAACAAGACAGAAGACAGAGTAAGTGGAAGAAAAGCAATCACATTCTTGATGACATTGTTGAGCCACTGGATCAACTGTTACCTGAAGCCAACCTACTTGCTACCGAAAGCATCCTAAGAGAATATTCCTCTTAGCCCAGCCAAAGCCTAATGATCTTTCTAATTCCAACTTAAATGCAACTCCCTAAGGCTAAGTTTTCTTCAACCCCCAGACTTGGCCAGGACTCATTTACATACTCAAACCAATGTGTACTCTTTTTTAACACTTACCACGATTATATTTTAAATCATAAACTTAATGTGTTTACTCTGTCTTCCCATTAGACAGTAAGTATCTGAAGGACTAGGTTTTGTTCACTACTCTATTCTGTCTAGGACGGTGCCTGGCACATAAATATGTTGTGAATAAATGAATCACTGGCAGCATGATTTTTTTAAAAAGCATGAATAAATAAACATTATTGGGAAATGAGGTGTTCTACATAAACTGATAACCAAAATTTGCCCTGCTAAGCACAGATTCTTTTTGGTTTTATTATTCTGTATGAAAATCTCTGAACACATTTCCTTGACCTCTGAAACAGAGGCTACTAAAGAAACTTACTTGTTTCTTGAGAGCTTCACGTTATCACTATGAACAACTTCTGTATGATACTATAATTTAATTACGCCTCAGGAGTTATGGAAATACAAAAGATAGTTGTTCTAAAATAAACGGGCACAGACAAAAGTGTTAAAAATTTTTTAGTTCTTTACTTCCTAATGATTAAGTAGAACACAAAATCTTAATTCTTAATTATTTTCTCCTCTCCCCCAGCAGGCTATTAGCTGTCAATTCTTATTTGGTAGGCTTACAGGAAATGTACTATCACAGTTCTGAATAAGGAACTTGAGAATTCTTCAAGTACAGTGAATATACTTTCAGTGTGTGGACTATCTGTTACGTATGATCATAGGCATTTTTTATTTACTTTCAGGTTTTTGGCCACATTCCTCTTAGAATCACAACTGGCAGATAAGGAAAGCTTTACTCTATCTTACTTGCTAGAGTTTCAAAACAAAGATCAATAGGAAATACTATGCAGCTATAAAAAGAAATGAAGATCTCTAACACTCTAGGATATATTGCTAAGTGAAAAAAAAAAACCTCCCAAGATACTAAAATACATTAGCTTTGGGTTCAAGAAAGAAAAACACATATATATACATATGAATATATACATTCTTCTTTTTGAAAATATAAAGGATAAATCAAACACTAATAAAAATGATTACCCACACGCTCATTAAAATGGCTACTATAAAAAAAACAGAAAATAACAAATGTTGGTAAGGATGTGGAAAAACTGGAACTCTTGTACACCATTGGTGGGAATTTTTTTTTTCACCAGGAACACGTGTACTTTACTGAATGCCACTGTAGAAAAGTGTGTGAGGATAAAGGGCTGATACCAGTCTCGGCTCGGGGGCAGGGCGAGGAATGCAAGATAGGGTACGTGGGAGACAGGTCACGGGCAGAGCCCCTGGCCTGGATGATTCACCTTGATCTACTGATAGGCTTGCAAAATCAGTACTGGGATGATGATCAGCAGAATGGTCATGATGATGCCCACGATCAGGGCCCAGATGTTCAGGCACTTGGCGGTGGGGGCGTAGGCCTGGGCCCCGGTCAAGTCACCAACCATCTTCCTGTCCCTAGACTTCATGGAGTAGGTGAATGCTATAAAGCCCAGGCAGCAGGAGTTCACGAAGAGGGTGTTGAACAGGGACCAGACGACGTGGTCGGGCACAGAGACCTTGCTGCAGATGTGGATCGTGGTGGATGTCGGGGGAGCAGGGTTGTGGGGCGCCCCCAGCACATCCGCTTCATGCACCTCCTTCAACATCTCATAGTTGGGCAGACGGTCGGTGTTGGCGGCAGTGAAGGTTTGGACAGTGTGGTTCATGCTGTCCAGGGAAGACCAGCCATGGTGGGGTTGCTGGGATGGTTCTCCCATTGGTGGGAATTTTAAATGGTGCAGCTACTGCAGAAAACACTACGACAGTTCCTCAAAAAATTGAAAATAGATTTACCATATTATCCAGAAGTTCCACTTCTGGTTATGTACCCAAAATAATTGAAAATGGTTATTTACTATTTTTTTATTTATTTTTTGGAGACAGAGTCTTCCTCTGACACCCAGGCTAGAGTGCAGTGGCATGATCGCGGCTCACTGCAACCTCCGCTTCCTGGGTTCAAGCAATTCTCAAGCTTCAGCCTCTCATGTAGCTGAGACTACAGACACATATCACCATGCTAGCTAATGTTGGCCAGGCTGGTCTCAAACTCCTGACCTCAAGTGACCCACCTGCCTCAGTCTCCCAAAGTGCCAGGATTATAGGCGTAAGCCACTATATCCGGCCTGAAAACAGAGTCTTGAAGAGATATTTGTATACCCATGTTCACAGCAACATCATTCACAATAGCTCAAAAGGGAAAACAGCCCAGTGTCTGATAAATGGGTAAGTAAAATGTAATATACACTGACAATGAACTATTATCCAGTCTTAAAGAAGGGAATTCTGACATATGCTACAACATGGATGAACCTTGAAGACATTATGCTAAATGAAATAAGCCAAACACAAAAAGACAAATACTGTATGATTTCACTTATATGTGGTACATAGAGTAGTCAAAAATCACAGAGACAGCAAGTGGTACAGGAGCAACGGGTGAGGGGAAATGGGAAGTTATTGTTTAATGTATACTAAGTTTCAATTTTGCAAGACAAAGAGTTCTGAAGATGAACAGTGATAGCTGCATAACAATATGAATACACTTAATACCACTGAACTGTACATTTAAAAATGGTTCAGATTGTAAAGGTCATGTGTATTACCATAATAAAAAATTTAAAATTTAATTTTAAAATCTTAAAAAAAAGAGAGAGAGAGAGAGAGAGAGAGAGAGAGAACGAGAAGAAATAGTGGCTCATGCTTGTAATACCAGCACTGTGGAAGGCCAAGACAAGAGAACTGCTTGAGGTCAGGCATTCAAGACCAGCCTGGGCAATAAAGCAAGACTATATTACTATAAAAAAATAAAAAATTAAAGATTAGCCAAGCGTAGTGGCATGTACCTATAGTCCCAAGCTACTGAGGCAGAAGGATTGCTTGAGCCCAGGTGGTCAAGGTTGCAGTGAGCTATGATTGTGCCACTGCACTCCAGCCTGAGTGACATTGTCTCTCAGCCTCTGTCTCAAGAAGAAAAAAAAAGATATTAAGAGAAAAAAAATCTGTCAACCTAGACTTCTATCCTCCGTAAGACCATCTTTCAAAATTACGGCAGATTAAAAAAAAAAAAAAAAGGAAATCTTCTGGCAAACAAAAGCATAGTTTATGACCAAAAGACCCTCCCCTCACTGTAGAAAATTCTCAGGATATAGCAGACAAAAGAAAATGACTCCAAATGACAGATATGAAAAATCAAAACCTTAGAACTGAGAAAGAGTATGAAGCGGGGAGGGATGAGGTAAGAGCACACAGATAGATGCTCTCCTGCTCTTCCAACCAGAAGAAGGGGCTCTGCCCTGAGCCCCACACTTTAGAAACTGCACCTATCAAAAACATCAAAATCCAAAAGTAATCAGTAACTAATTGAGTGAACACAAATTAAGAGAGAGGAACTCACAAACTAAACTTGGTCCCCCCAGGCCAGACAATAAGAGCAGAAGGAAGAAGGCAAATCAGCCTCTGTGCTGGAAAAACCAGAGCAAAAATACCCGCTTTTGATTAAGGTTGGTCACCCCAACTATCCCAAAGGAAGTATCCAGGCAGACTGGGCTCCCTGTATACCTGCATTCCTTCCTCCTCCTCAATCTGAGTAGTTTAAGAAGATATTTGGAATTGCCTGAAAAATCTCGAGTTAGAAAAGGAAATTGTGGGGGACAGAAACCTGTTTTCCCTGGCTCTCTGGGGAATTTCACATCAGTCCTCATACCAGATTCCAGACCTACCCCAACCTAACTTCTACCCTACCTGGTCCAGGGAGAGTAGATTCCTTTAAGAGTCAGCTGAACCCTGGGTAGGAGGACAGGTCAGGCTGTTGGCATCCATTGATTTGTAACTATTCAATATTAAGACATTTTAAAAGCTGATTTCCACTTGTATGCCTAACCTAGGTACCGAAGTGTTAGAGGCAAGCCTGTGGAGGAGCAGGATTCCTGGGCTCTAAAGTTAAATAACACATTCATAGCGGTTCACATTATCCCTGTATGTTCCATAGGGTATCTTGAATGAAACAAATATTACATTTAAAAAGATAATAAATGAAAAGTAAAAGGAAGAAAATAGAAAGGCCAAAAAGCTAAGGCTAGTCTTTAAGATACCACTTACCATCATTCTTTAAATTGTCTTCTATGCCAAGAAGATCATCTATCACATAACCCATGGAGTATGACTCCTACAATTAAAAAAACATATATACATTTAATTATAATATTACCAGAAAATCATAATTATACATAAAAAGATACAAATCTCATCCCCACACTTACATTAAACAACAACAAAAACTTCTCCTTTATATTGCCTGTTGGGGTACAATATATAATGTTTAAATATTCCATGCTGAGCAAGACCTCAATGCTCTCCAAAAAATAAAAATAAAATGGAAAAGAAACTATTAATTACATGGACATCCTAACCCAGAGGGGTTCCAAGCTTTTTTTACTACAATCCATAAACATATACACGTTTTATCTTACCCAGTTCACACATGTTGACTGAATTAAAAGTTTCATAACGTAACAGATGTGCTCTAATCTTTCCTTCTGTATTCTATTTCCGTTTTTAAATGCTGCTTTCACTGAAATGACTCACTAATGAGTCTCAACTCACAGTAGAAAACCCTGTGTAACTTTCCTCAAGAACGTTCATAAACTGAGATTCTATCCAAATATCTTAACTAACAATTACATAAGGCTCTAAGTAGAACAGCCTGTACCCAAATCTATACAGGTCTGCATCAACTTCAACTCTCACCTCCTCAGAAGAAAGAATTCAACTGAGGCAGAGACCACAGCAAGAATTCAGAGGAGAGACCACAGCAAACTTCATAGCAAGAGTGAAAGCTTATTAAAAAGCTTTAGAACAGGAAGGAAAGGAAAGAAAAGAAGGGAAGTACAACCTGGAAGACAGCTAAGCGGGTGACTTGAAAAACCAAGTGTGCAGCCTGGCCTCTTGACTCAGGGCTTTATACACCGGCCTACTTCCGGGATCTTCCATTACCTCTCCCACTCCTGAGATCTTATTGGGAAGCTGCTGATCAGTTTCAGGTGTTTTCTATTAGGAGACTACCTTTTCCTAGCACCGGCTGTGACTAATTATTACTTTAGAGAAACAGCTAACAACCGCCTGACCACCACCTGATGATCTCCCAGCACTCCAGGTGTGGGGTGGGGGGACCTTGCCTGCCCTGCTTATACCTGACTAGCTACCTACTGTTTCAAAGGAACTAAACTGTTACACAGAAAATACCTTTAATTTTACTTCTGCAATAAATAGTGCAAACCACACACAGACACACACAGAACAGCCTGAACATTTCAGAAAACCTATTTAATGTGGCCAAACTTTTACTCAAAGACATCCAAATCAGAGAAACTGAAACACAAAGTGACGGAAATTGCTTTAAAAAAAAAAAATGACCTAACCCTGTATGAAGAGTCAGTGAACAAAGAAAAGAAAGCAGCAACTGGAACCAAACCTCCTCCTGGAGGAGAACCTAGGTCATTGATCCTCTGTCAAGAAAATTTGCTCCTTTAAAATGCAGTACCTCAAATGTAAACATATGTCCAGATAAAAATGTATATACAAATGTCCACAGCAGCATTATTCATAACAGCTAAAAAGTACAAACCACCCGAATACTCATCAACTGATGAATGGATAAATAGAATGTTGTATATTCACACGATGAATTAAAGGACATAATAATGGAAAAAAGACAAAAAAAGGAAAGTGCTGATACATGCTACAATATGAACTTTAAAAACATTATGCTAAGCAAAAGAAGCTAGTTATAAAAGAATATTGTATGATTCCACATATGTGAAATGTCCCTAACAGTCAAAGCCATAGTGTCAGAAAACAGTTTACTGAAGTCTGGAGGTTTAGGAGAAAATGAGTTGTAACTGCTACTAAGTACAGGGTTTCTTTAGAAGGTGATGAAAATGTTCTAAAATGAATTATGGTAAGGGCTGCAAAACTCTTGTGAATATACTAAAAATGATTTTTAAATGGGGAAATTATATGGTATATAAATCATTTACCAGTAAAGCTATTTTATTTTTTTAAATATACTACCTCTGCTCACAAACCTCCAATGTCTCTCCATCTCACGCAGGGTAAAAGCCGAAGTCCTCACAGTGGCCTATCATGTCCCAAATTTTCTAATTCCATATACCCAGCATTCATTCTACTCCAGTCACACTGGCTTCCTTATGTTCCCCGGCATGCCAGGCATATTCTAGCATTAGGGGTTTATACCTGTTAAACCTCCCATATGGAACACTCCCACTTCACTTGTCTCTGCACAAATGTCACTCTCAATGAGGCCTTCCCATATAACATTCATTCACTCACTCAATTGTGGTCTGTTAGCCAGACCACAATTGAGACAGGGTCTGGCTCTATTGCCCAGGCTGGAGTGCAATGGCGTGATTTTGGCTCACTGCAACCTCTGCCTCCCACCTCAAGCCATCTTCCCACCTCAGCCTCCTGGGTAGGTGGGACTACAGGTGCACACCACCATGCCTGGATAACTTTTGTATTTTTTGGGAGAGACAGGGTTTCAACATGTTACCCAGGCTGGTCTTGAACTACTGGGCTCAAGGAATCCACGCACCTCGGCCTCCCAAAGTGCTGAGATTACAGGCATAAGCCACCATGCACACCAGGCCCTATTTAAAACCATAACCCTTCCAGACAAAGAAAGGCTGTGGGAGTTCATCCCACCTTACAAAAAGGCTAAAAGAAGTTCTCCAAGATGAAACAAAGGAACACTAACCATTCATCTGTTGATAGACCCAGGCTGATTTCATTATCTTTACTTTGTGAATACTGCTGCAATAAACATATAGGTTCAGGTATCATTTTAGTACATTGATTTCTTTTGGGTAGATACTCTGTAGTGGGATTGTTGGATTAAATGGTAATTCTATTTTGTAGTTTCTTAGGACATCTCCATGCTGTTTTCCATAGAGGGTGTAATAATTCACATTTCCACAAAATTGTACATGAACCCCATAAATCTGTACAAATTTTTTTAATGGATGCTAACAATGTGAAAATGTATAAAAATAAAACTCACAGCCAGGCAGGGTGGCTCACGTCTGTAATCCCAGCACTTTGGGAGGCCGAGGTGGGTGGATCACCTGAGGTCAGGAGTTCAAGACCAGCCTGGGCAACATGGCAAAACCCTGTCTCTACTTAAAATACAAAAATTAGCTGGGTGTGGTGGTACGCACCTATAATCCCAGCTACTCAGGAGGCTAAGGCAGGAGAACCACCGGAAACCAGGAGGCAGAGGTTGCAGTGAGGTGAGATCGTGCCACTGCACTCCAGCCTGGGTGACAGAGTGAGACTCCGTCAAAGAATAAAATTTTAAAAATAAAACACATTTTTAAAAAATTTTAAAATAAACCTCACTATACAGGTAAGGATACAGTCAAATTCAGTATACCCTAATATTGTAATGGTGATGTAAAAACCACTTAACTCCAGCATAAAAGTTAGAAGGCAAAAGTATTAAAAATAACTAGCTGGCTGGTCATAGTGGCTCATACCTGTAATCCTAGCACTTTGGGAGACCAAGACAGGTGGATCACTTGAGACTTGGAGTTCAAGACCAGCCTGGCCAACACAGTGAAACCCCATCTCTACTAAAAATACAAAAATTGGCCAGGTGTGTTGGCACACATCTGTAGTCCCAGCTACTTAGGAGGCTGAGGCATGAGAATTGCTTAAACCTGGGAGGCAGCAATTGTAGTGAGCCGAGATTGCCCCACTGCACTCCTGCCAGGGCTACAGAGTGAGACTCTGTCTCAAAAAAAAAAAAAAAAAAAGGCCAGGCATGGTGGCTCACACCTGTAATCCCACCACTTTGGGAGGTGGAGGCGGGTGAATTACGAGGCCAGGAGATCAAGACCATCCTGGCCAACACAGTGAAACCCCATCTCTACTAAAAAATATAAAATCCTGGCCGGGCATCGTGGCATGTGCCAGTAGTCCCAGCTACTGAGGAGGCTGAGGCAGGGGGAACAGCTTGAACCTGGGAGGCGGAGGTTGCAGTGAGCTGAGATTGTGCCACTGCACTCCAGCCTGGCAACAGAGCAAGACTCCATCTAAAAAAAAAATTCCTAATAAAAATAAATAACTATAATAACTACAACTACAAAATTTTGGTTTGGGTAAATATAAGACATGTAATTTGTAACATCAATAACATAAAATGTGCAGCAAGGAGAAGTTACAATGCAGAGTTTTCATATGCCATCAAAGTTCTTATTACATTAAAACAGACTATTCTTAAGCTGATAAGCAACTTCAGCAAAGTCTCAGGATACAAAATCAATGTGCAGAAATCACAAGCATTCCTATACACCAATAACAGACCAACAGAGGGCCAAATCATGAGTGAGCTCCCATTCACAAATGCTACAAAGAGAATAAAATACCTAGGAATACAACTAACAAAGGATGTAAGGGACCTCTTCAAGGAGTACTACAAACCACTGCTCAAGGAAATAAGAGAGGACACAAACAGATGGAGAAACATTCCATGCTCATGGATAGGAAGAATAAATATCGTGAAAATGGCCATACTGTCCAAAGTAATTTATAGATTCAATGCTATCCCCATCAAGCTACCAATGACTTCTTCACAGAACTGGAAAAAACCACTTTAAACTTCATATGGAACCAAAAGACAGCTCACATAGCCAAGACAATCCTAAGCAAAAATAACAAAGCCGGAGGCATCATGCTACCTGACTTCAAACTATACTACAAGGCAACAGTAATCAAAACAGCATGGTACTGGTATCAAAACAGAAATATAGACCAATGGAATAGAAGAGAGGCCTCAGAGGCAACACCACATTATCTACAACCATCCGATCTCTGACAAACCTGACAAAAACAAGCAATGGGGAAACAATTCCGTTTAATACATGGTGTTGGGAAAACAGGCCAGCCATGTGCAGAAAGCTGAAACTGGACCCCTTCCTGACATCTTACACTAAAATTAACTCCAGATGGATTAAAGACTTAAACATAATACCATAAAAACCCTAGAAGAAAACCCGGGCAAAACCATTCAGGATGTAGGCAAGGACTTCATGACTAAAACACAAAAGCAATGGCAACAAAAGCCAAAATAGACAAATTGGACCTAATTAA